GGACTTTGATTTCTCCCTTCTTGTGGTACGAGCACCAGTCGACATTGCATTCTTGGAAAATCTTCTGCGAGTGCTGCCTTCCCCTTTCATAGAAAGAACGAGTGAAGAGGGACACTAGCAGCAGGTTCTAGCTAGGTCGCCAGAATTGCAGAAAAGCGAGAAGACGTTCAACAACGATTGATTGCACAAAAATCATCGCTACCGAAAAATTTACTGAAAATCTACACTTTTCAAACACTTTTCAAACGATGCGCGCGCAGAGGGTGTGAGCCACCTTAAGGGCCTGGTCAGACTGCGGCAAAATCGAAATAATCCTAGGATTATAATCCGAATCTCCATTTGCCGCCAGAGCGGCAAAAGCGAGAGTTGACGCTCCAAAAAAAAAGCAAGAACGGGCCACGCTTTTCCGCTCCAAACATGATTTGACGCTGATACGCCACTGACGCTGACATCACTGATTTTTTCATCTCGATATCGAGGAGCTAATTGGCCACGGACAACAACAAAACTCATAAGGATGGTTGCAAGGATTGCACTGAAGGTGTTGGCGATCCCAAGGTGAAGGAATTTGACATCGTTCGTGGAGATTACCACTTGACGCTCGAAATGAAGTTTGAATTTTCATTCTCCTCACATGTGTAGTGTGATCGCGATTCAAATTCTGGACGCTGTTCTTTTTTCGTCAGGCAACCAAAAGTTGCCGCAGTCTGACCAGGCCCTAATAGGCGATTCACACGACAGGCAAATCCACGTTTGTCAAGTGCCCGCAGGAAGTGAAACGTGAGGCCGCAGTTCACACGGCCGCGGGTAGCTGCCAGAGCTCCCGCGAGTAGGGCTCAAACGGTCACGGTTTTACCCCTGACGATTAACTGCTAAGCTAACGGTCGGTTAACCGGTTATAACCTATAAGCCACGGCAATCCTGCGGACTCTTTTTTAACCGTATATTTGACTATACTCATTCAAAAAATGTACCCTGTTCAGTACAACGCGCACTTGTGCATTCTCTTGCATGCTCATTCATACATACTCTCACAGCAAGTGACCAGATATGACCGAGTTGACAGCCCAGAAATTGCGTACCCGTGCGACAGCCCGCGAAAGTGCACACTTTGCAACGACCTGATACTTGAAAAATTGACTGAAAAGTTACTGCGCAACCGTTATCTTTATCGGTTAACCGTTAATTCTTCGTAACCGGTCTGAAACCGGTTAATCGGACTAATCGTTTGAGCCCTACCCGCGAGTATAAGGTTGCGTTTGGTTGGGCATTTTCAGAATGTAAATAACAACCATTCTGGAATGGGAATCGGCAAGAATCACCTGACCAAACTAACGCGCCAGAATCAATAAGGAATCACTTGACGTAACAATTCCATGATGTCGTTGTGGAACGGCGGCTGTCTTTTCTTTTACCCGACTTTAGTTTCCTTGAGAGAGTCATGGTACTTCTGAGTGCATGATTTGAGGCACTTGAACCTGTTGCTACATTGTTTGGCTCGTGGCAGCCATTATCATTTTTGATTCCAGAATGAGAATGCTCATTCCAGCATGTGAGGTGGAATGATCATTCTCCAAAAAGAATCATTCTCAGCGATTCCCATTCTGGAATCATGTGGAATGTGACCAACCTAACGCACTCTTTTGACCAACCAAACGGGCGAGAATGATTCCGAGTGATTCCAAGTGATTCCCATTTAGGAATGTGACCAACCAAACGTAACCTAAGTATCCGGTGAGTATACGGCGTTACTGTGGTGATTTGAAATGAGTACCCAAAAACAAAGGCCAAACAACCAGGGTTCAAGACTACCGTACCATAGTACGACCTCACAGCCTCATAACTGTAAAAGTGCCCGCAGATGAGTGCATCCGCGGGCAAAAAGGCCATGGACACTTTTGATTCCCGCGGGCAAATTTTGGTCACCCGCAGGAATATCTCCATGGCGACTTTCCTGTAAACGTGGATTTGCCTGTCGTGTGAATCGCCTATTAGGCCGATTCACAATACAACTTTCTGCGACGCGACATGCGACTTGCGACACATGCGACGAGCTGCGACAGCGACACACGGTTCACAATATTCTTCATGTTTGCGACATCATCATGCACAAGTAGTACTATGAGTATGCACGTGCACTGCACGTGCACCCAGGGTCGAAACTGTACTCCATTTGTGTATGTCGCGTGTCGCATGTCGCAAAAGTTGAACTTTCTTCAACTTCTGCGACAGGTGCATTGCGACAGCTTGCGACAGCTTGCGACAGCTCGCGACAGGCAGTTTCTTGTCGCAACTGTCGCAAATCGCGTGTCGCGTCGCAGAAAGTTGTATTGTGAATCGGGCTTTAAAAGTTGTATTGTGAATCGGGCTTAAAGCCCGATTCACAATACAACTTTCTGCGACGCGACACGCGATTTGCGACAGTTGCGACAAGAAACTGCCTGTCGCGAGCTGTCGCAAGCTGTCGCAATGCACCTGTCGCAGAAGTTGAAGAAAAGCCCGATTCACAATACAACTTTCTGCGACGCGCCACGCGATTTGCGACAGTTGCGACAAGAAACTGCCTGTCGCGAGCTGTCGCAAGCTGTCGCAAGCTGTCGCAGTGCACCTGTCGCAGAAGTGGAAGAAAGTTCAACTTTTGCGACATGCGACACGCGACATACACAAATGGAGTACAGTTTCGACCCTGGGTGCACGTGCAGTGCACGTGCATAGTACTACTTGTGCATGAGGATGTCGCAAACATGAAGAACATTGTGAACCGTGTGTCGCTGTCGCAGCTCGTCGCATGTGTCGCAAGTCGCATGTCGCGTCGCAGAAAGTTGTATTGTGAATCGGCCTAAAGTTCAACTTTTGCGACATGCGACACGCGACATACACAAATGGAGTACAGTTTCGACCCTGGGTGCACGTGCAGTGCACGTGCATAGTACGACTTGTGCATGAGGATGTCGCAAACATGAAGAATATTGTGAACCGTGTGTCGCTGTCGCAGCTTGTCGCATGTGTCGCAAGTCGCATGTCGCGTCGCAGAAAGTTGTATTGTGAATCGGCCTTTAAGCCCGATTCACAATACAACTTTCTGCGACGCGACACGCGATTTGCGACAGTTGTAGGCCTTGACGGATTATGCTAGCATAATTTTTCGCATAATTCCTACCAAAATCGAATAATCGAATAATTCGAGGCAAATTGCATACGAATCGCATAAAATTGTAATCCGCCTGTTCGCATCAAATTCCATACAGTTGTACAATCATGTTCTACAAGTACAAGTACATGTACCGGTAGATGCACTAGGAAGTTGTAGGTTTACGACTCCCTTGATAACATGTCCAGTCCACTACAAAAAAATGTACAATCAGTGATGGTCGTAGCTAGGTCGGACGGTGCGTTGACCCCGTTGAACTTTTGCTACGACAGTACCGGTACCTCTACAAAAAATTCGCCTGTTATTTTGCCCAGAACCATTATGCATTAGCAGCATATGTGAGCATAATGCGGCATAATAATGATAACTTTTAGCATAAAAATAGCATAATTCTGCAATTTGTTCAGCAATGCGAAAAGCATAATTTCACGAAAATATTAGCATAATCCGTCAAGGCCTAGACAGTTGCGACAAGAAACTGCCTGTCGCGAGCTGTCGCAAGCTGTCGCAATGCACCTGTCGCAGAAGTTGAAGAAAGTTCAACTTTTGCGACATGCGACACGCGACATACACAAATGGAGTAGAGTTTCGACCCTGGGTGCACGTGCAGTGCACGTGCATAGTACTACTTGTGCATGAGGATGTCGCAAACATGAAGAATATTGTGAACCGTGTGTCGCTGTCGCAGCTCGTCGCATGTGTCGCAAATCGCATGTCGCGTCGCAGAAAGTTGTATTGTGAATCGGCCTTAAAGGCCGATTCACAATACAACTTTCTGCGACGCGACATGCGACTTGCGACACATGCGACGAGCTGCGACAGCGACACACGGTTCACAATATTCTTCATGTTTGCGACATCCTCATGCACAAGTAGTACTATGCACGTGCACTGCACGTGCACCCAGGGTCGAAACTGTACTCCACTTGTGTATGTCGCGTGTCGCATGTCGCAAAAGTTGAACTTTCTTCCACTTCTGCGACAGGTGCACTGCGACAGCTTGCGACAGCTTGCGACAGCTCGCGACAGGCAGTTTCTTGTCGCAACTGTCGCAAATCGCGTGTCGCGTCGCAGAAAGTTGTATTGTGAATCGGCCTTTATTATAGGCCTTAAAGGCCGATTCACAATACAACTTTCTGCGACGCGACATGCGACTTGCGACGCATGCGACGAGCTGCGACAGCGACACACGGTTCACAATATTCTTCATGTTTGCGACATCCTCATGCACAAGTAGTACTATGCACGTGCACTGCACGTACACTGCACGTGCACCCAGGGTCGAAACTGTACTCCATTTGTGTATGTCGCGTGTCGCATGTCGCAAAAGTTGAACTTTCTTCAACTTCTGCGACAGGTGCATTGCGACAGCTTGCGACAGCTTGCGACAGCTCGCGACAGGCAGTTTCTTGTCGCAACTGTCGCAAATCGCGTGTCGCGTCGCAGAAAGTTGTATTGTGAATCGGCCTTAAGTTCAACTTTTGCGACATGCGACACGCGACATACACAAATGGAGTACAGTTTCGACCCTGGGTGCACGTGCAGTGTACGTGCAGTGCACGTGCATAGTACTACTTGTGCATGAGGATGTCGCAAACATGAAGAATATTGTGAACCGTGTGTCGCTGTCGCAGCTCGTCGCATGCGTCGCAAGTCGCATGTCGCGTCGCAGAAATTTGTATTGTGAATCGGCCTTTATCTACGCTACTCTACGCCCGGGCCCCCGCGCCGCGCGCCGCGGCATTATAATGCCGGCAGTTGGCGCATGCATGATGCACGTGCGCGCAATGCGAGAACGACGACGTCGACGCAGCCTGGCCTGCCTGGCAAGAAAAAAATTGTTGCTTTTCAGTTTTGACTTTTGATTTTGACTTTGGTTTTGTGTTGAAGGAAAGTTTTCGATCACAGAGTGCATGAGCTGAGCTTACTTACTCTTGATACACTGCTAGTCTAGTAAGCCATTTGCAAACAATGGAGGGCATGAAGGCGCCTCCATCTGAGAGCGAGGATGATGAGTTCTTCTCTGCTGGTGAATCGGATTCGGAGGAGTCGAAAGTTACAGCAACAGAAAGTGAGATGACATCAGCTAGCGCTACTGCTGCTTCAGCAAGAAGCACTGAAGAATCTGATTGCGAAAGCGATGGATTGCCGGAATGGGTCAGTACAGTATCTTCTAATACCCGTTCAATATGCATTACTATAGTTGTGTATCTAAAAGTATTCTTTCTAGACCAAAGACTGGTGAAAAAATAAAGATAGAAATATTCACGATACTTCTCCAGACGTTTCGTTGTTCTGAAGAATACTTTTTGATATTACAATGAGAGTGGATAATCAACGGCTTGTCCACCAACTCTTTATTAATTGTGTGTTGCTCCCTACGTGGGAGCTTGCGCTCTTCCTGCCGACTTGAATTCTCACTTGATGCATTAATGCTGGTAATATTGCAGAACATGATACATGTAGCACCAATAGTGGTCCATCACTCTCAGTCTGTGTAATGATGGCTCCTGATGACATTCACGCACACAGCTACATAATAGAATGCATAGCAACGACGTGGCCAATTATTATTTCATCAAAAATGAAGGGTTTCCGGCGGTTTTTGTTGTTGTTGTGTGTGTTAACAGTACAGTGTGAAAGGGCCATCTTACATTTGTTCTAACTCCTAACTAAGAATGTATAAACAACTACATCAGCGTTGTTTCTCCCCCCCCCCCCCCCCCCCCCCAGAAAAAACCCATGAAGGCCAACACGCTAAGCAGGCCCCAAAGACCAAACATTAGAGATGGAGAAAAGAAACCTAATACCTAAAACCTGAACCTATTGTATAATAATATCGATAGAAATAAAGCGAACACAATCATACCACAACACCAGAAGAACAATGTGTAGGGGGTTTAATGTCGTTTTCATGTGACAATCATCTGAAATATTTGTCACACTGCACGGCATGAAATAACGGTCGGACATCGGACATTTTCCGACCGTTTTTGGTCGTTGGCCGGGCGAAATATCCGCGCGACGGACAAAGTGTCCGATCGATCCGAGACGAAAAAATACTCCATGGGCATTTCAATGTACATGGGCGCAGTCAAACTTTCGTTACCCGGCCAAATCTTGATCAAATTCAACAATCAAAGTATCTAGATGGTAGAGAAAACTCTCCGCTATCGCCTCGAACATGTCCGAAGTCTCTCGGATTAAGTTTGAGTGATCGGTGATGGATCGAACATTTTGAATTTTCTGCACTGCGTGCTGCGAGTCGAGTCAGCAGTGCATGAAAAAAGGGATTTTCCCAGCTTGAGGACAGGCAGCACATAATGTCATACGTGCCATGAGCCTGGCTCCAGCTTCCACTCGCAACAAATTGAGCAGTTCCGAGCAGATTCCGCATATTTTCTGAGTGAAGGAGACCGATTTCGTCTCACATCTGGAACTGGACTCGCGTTTGGAACGCGTTGTGCATGTGGCAGACAATGAGTACTATTGAGTAGTGATCTTGGTGAGTTTGGGCTCATTGTATTTCTCTCATCAAGAGCTATCCAACGAGCCCAAGATCTTCAAAAGCGGTAAAGTAAGAACCACAGTAATGTTGGAAATGAGTGCGCATTTTCAGGGACTGAGAAACTCCGTGCTGTCCTTCATCGTTGAGTGAGAAATTTGAAAACGTCGGCTTTCAAAGAAAATGTGTGTCAAAATGGTATGTCCTTGCATGCCTTGCATGTCCGACCAGTTGAAGAACTGTCAGGACATTATATCAGAACGACCATGATTTCTTATCACATGGCCTGCACTGAGAGTTGGACTAGTTGAAAGGAAATAATTATTATATGGTAAACATACTGTGTGACGAAGATTTCTGATGATTGTCACATGAAAACGATGTTAAACCCCCTACACATTGTTCTCCTGGTGTCGTGGTATGAATGTGGTATGAATGTGTTCACTTTATTTCTATCGATATTGGAGACGGGAAGAAGAGGTTGGTGCGACTTCAGCGATACTTGGAGATGGAGCAATTTTATGTTGTATGTGTAGTGCTGTATTTCCAACATTCAGTACCGGAATAGTGCTGACTGTTCTGACAAAATGTTTTTGTTGTTGCTTTGGTCAGAACAGAGTCTGAGACTGTCTACGTTGTACAGTATTGCCCGCTGATTGGCATTGTTTGTGGCTTTCATTTCTATTACATGATATTTTACAGTATTGCCAGCTGATTGGTATTGTTTGTGGCTTTCATTTCTATTACAAATATATTTTTGCTGCAGGAAAGAGTGGAAAGGGCGTCGGCTTTGAAAGAAGAGGGCAATGACCACTTCAGAACTGGAGGTATGTACATGTACAATCATGCATGCCGCATGGTTGCACGGCAATGTGTTTCACGCTATCTGCATGTCCGACATTTCAATACATGTGTGTAAATGAGTTTTGGATTGTGAACTGAATTCATTGACTTACAGTCATGTCTCATCCGAAACTTTCATGTTTCACGCTGCTTTAATAGTTGCTTCAAACATAATTGCTTGATATCTGAGTGTCATGGTATCAAACTGGAATTCATCATCTCTTTTTGCAATGCAATGCGTTGTTGCTAAGCACTCCTTAAATTATATAGTAGTAATGTTATTGTTAGGATATTTGGAAAGTTCGGTGACTCGTTGCGAACTCGTGCCTGAAACGAAATCGATATCGCTTCGTGTTCGAATTGGGTAAAGCGTAAAAAAAAAGAAAGGTCCAGTGACACTTAAACAAGGTGGGCTTTGATTGTCATAGCTACACGACAGCAACAGAAATACAGGTACAAGTGCCCGGGTACTGTATAAGCAGAAAAATTCGTCTGGAATTTAATTTCGTCTTTTTCGTCCAAGGAGCTTTTGGACTAAACGAGAGAGCTTGGAAGCTCAGGGCCCTACGCTATGCTTTTATACTTTTTTGCCTAGCTCACCGTACATGTTATAAGAACTGAGGCAAAAGTATTTGCAGAATTTATTGCGGATTGTTATTTCTCTAATAATCATCTTCTTTTGGTTTGCTCCTTCTTTTCTTTTTATCTCCTTATACTGTAAATCAACAAATTTTGGCTGATGAGAAATAGAAACCTCTCTATTAGAGAGGTTAAGATGCACGTAATTTCCGACGTGACGCGCAATTTCACGTCAAATTTGAAATCGATAGGTATTTTTGCTCTCACATGCATCCATTGCTCAATAATGCATCAATTTCCTATATGACAAACTTTGCCCTATGATTTACTTTGGCCGGTTGGTACAAAGCGGCGAAATCAGCGAAATTAAATCGCCAGCGAAAATTAGTTGATTTTAATACAGTAATCGGATTTTCTGGCCTTTTTGTAGTAATACATGTACATTGACCTGTTGAGCCAATGACGACGCCGAATGCATGGTTGCCTGTGGAGCACATTACATAACTTAGCAGTCTCCTAAAATACGTATCCTGCCCGACGGCAAAAGAGTCTGCAGATTTAGTTATTCAGCGCGTCGACGGGATGTCTGCGACGCGAAAGTTCAGCTCGCGTTATTTGGCTCGCACGTCGAAAAATCAACGCGAGTGACCCTCTGCTCACGTGGAAATTTGGACATTACATAACTTTACAGTCTCCTATAATACGTATCCTGTCCGACGGCAAAAGAGGCTGCAGATTTAGTTTTTCTGCGCGTCGACGGGATGTCTGTCCTGACGTTCACTGGGACCGGCGCTGACTCTGCCGATCACGGGCGTTCTGGACTCGACAGGATGTCTGTCCTGACGTTTCCTGGGACCGGCTTAGACTCTGCCGATCACGGGCGTTCTGGACTCAACGGGATGTCTGTCCTGACGTTGCCTGGGACCGGCGGACTCTGCCGATCACGGGCGTTCTGGAGTCGACGGGATCTCTCTTCCGACGTTTCCTGTGACCGGCGCTGAATCGCTCGTTCACGCTTATTTTGGAGACGACGCGATCTCTCTTCCAAAGTACATGTATGTTTATGCTCACGCTGTTTATGCTGACGCATCCTATCACCTATTCGGTGTCTATTCTAATTTAATTTCCTCCTCGTCTTCCTATTTCTTTCCAAATCTTCCTCTACATCAGGGAGTCGTATACATAATACGACGAATATTGGTACGGTACGGGACAGATACAGGAGCCCGCAAATATTGTGGACAGCTGTTATGTACAATCCTGTAGAGCCTTTGTAGTCACAGATACGGGACAGATACGGGACAGATACGGGATAGCGCCAGGTGTGGCACAAACAAACAAACAAACACACAAACAAACAAATACCAAACGAGAGAGCTTGGAAGCTCAGGGCCCTACGCTATGCTTTTATGCTTTTTTGCCTAGCTCATCGTACATGTTATAAGAACTGATGGAAATGTCTTTTTCCGTTGATTGGCCCCATCACTGTATTGCAAAAACGTTTCAATCGGTTTGAATATCATGAGTTAGGCAAAAGTATTTGCAGAATTTATTGCGGATTGTTATTTCTCTAATAATCATCTACTTTTGGTTTGCCGATGAGAAATAGAAACCTCTCTATTAGAGGGGTTGATGCACGTTATTTCCGACGTGACGCGCAATTTCACGTCAAATTTGAAATCGATCGGTATTTTTGCTCTCACATGCATCCATTGCTCAATCATGCAGCATTTGCCTATAATTATGACAAACTTTGGCCTGCGATTTACTTTGGCCGGTTGGTACCAAGCGTCGAAATCAGCGAAATTAAATCGCCAGCGAAAATTAGTGGATTTTAATACAGTAATCGGATTTTCTGGCCTTTTTGTAGTAATACATGTACATTGACCTGTTGAGCCAATAGGGAGGTTCCGGAGTACGATTTTTCGTGCCAAAATCCGTGGAGGCTCTATGGATTTTTTATACGTCGTTTTCGAGCAGTGAAAAGTTCCGGGGTACGGAACTTATGTGTTTGCCGTCATTGCCTAGGCTACGATCGCAAACACGTCACATTCCCGCGCTATGCCTTTTTATTTTGAAAATTTGTACCGAAATCAAAACTTCCCGCGAAAAATCGTTGTTTCTCGTACCAAATTTGTACGCGAAAAATCTTTCTGCACCCGATGACGCAAAATCTCCATACGAAGCATGGTTCGTATGAAAGCCAGTCCACACGGATTCTCGTGCCGAAAAATCGTATGGAGCACGCCTGGAAAAAATCCGTAGCGCCCATACGGATTTTGGCACGGAACTCTGAAGCTGTGTGAAAAGCGCCGTGAGCCTTTCCCGGTTATGATGGCTTTTGTACGGGCGAAGATCTCCTTTTGCCTTGTTCGGGCAATGGTTGCCAGTCTACGTGGTCACCGTCGGAACCCGCCTCGACATCTGTCTGGTTCGGCTGTGCTGGCGGCTGCTGAATGTGCCCTGGTGCCATAAACGGTGTACATGATACAGTACAGTTTCTTTGGTAATGGTGTTTCATTTACTTTTGTATTTTCAGTTCGTTTTCTTTGTATTTAACTCCTCATTGTTTTTTTACCAGGCGTGGGCCATCCCCTGACTTCATAGGTGCCAAACATTTTACGTTTTTCATTTCTATTTTGAGAGTTTAATAAAAACATTTCACTTGAAAAAAAGAAGAAGATTTTGGCACGGAAAATCGTACCCCGGAACCTCTCTAATGACGACGCCGAATGCATGGTTGCCTGTGGAGCACATTACATAACTTTACAGTCTCCTAAAATACGTATCCTGTCCGACGGCAAAAGAGGCTGCAGATTTAGTTTTTCTGCGCGTCGACGGGATGTCTGCGACGCGAAAGTTCAGCTCGCGTTATTTGGCTCGCACGTCGAAAAATCAACGCGAGTGACCTGCTGCTCACGTCGAAATTTGGACATTACATAACTTTACAGTCTCCTAAAATACGTATGCTGTCCGACGGCAAAATAGGCTGCAGATTTAGTTTTTCTGCGCGTCGACGGGATGTCTGTCCTGACGTTTACTGGGACCGGTGCTGTATATGCCGATCACGGGCATTCTGGACTCGACGGGATCTCTGTCCTGACGTTTCCTGGGACCGGCTTAGACTCTGCCGATCACGGGCGTTCTGGACTCAACGGGATGTCTGTCCTGACGTTGCCTGGGACTGGCGGACTCTGCCGATCACGGGCGTTCTGGAGTCGACGGGATCTCTCTTCCGACGTTTCCTGTGACCGGCGCTGAATCGCTCGTTCACGTTTATTTTGGAGACGACGGGATCTCTCTTCCAAAGTATGTTTATGCTGACGCATCCTATCACCTATTCGGCGTCTATTCTAATTTAATTTCCTCCACGTCTCCCTATTTCTTTCCAAATTTCCCTCTACATCAGGGAGTCGTATACATAATACGACGAATATTGGTACGGTACGGGACAGATACAGGGGCCCGCAAATATTGTGGACAGCTGTTATGTACAATCCTGTAGAGCCTTTGTAGTCACAGATACGGGACAGATACGGGACAGATACGGGATAGCTCCAGCCGTGACACAAACAAACAAACAAACAAACAAACAAACACCAAATTAAAGCTGTGTGGACCCTGGCTAGCGCCAGACGTTACTGAAGTAACGTCTTCTGCATAGCTACGGGAATTAAAGCTGTGTGGACCCTGGCTAGCGCCAGACGTTACTGAAGTAACGTCTTCTGCATAGCTACGGGAATTAAAGCTGTGTGGACCCTGGCTAGCGCCAGACGTTACTGAAGTAACGTCTTCTGCATAGCTACGGGAATTAAAGCTGTGTGGACCCTGGCTAGCGCCCGACGTTACTGAAGTAACGTCTTCTGCATAGCTACGGGAATTAAAGCTGTGTGGACCCTGGCTAGCGCCAGACGTTACTGAAGTAACGTCTTCTGCATAGCTACGGGAATAATCATCTACTTTTGGTTTGCTCCTTCTTTTCTTTTTATCTCCTTATACTGTAAATCAACAAATTTTGGCCGATGAGAAATAGAAACCTCTCTATTAGAGGGGTTAAGATGCACGTTATTTCCGACGTGACGCGCAATTTCACGTCAAATTTGAAATTGATCGGTATTTTTGCTCTCACATGCATCCATTGCTCAATCATGCATCATTTGCCTATAATTATGACAAACTTTGGCCTGCGATTTACTTTGGCCGGTTGGTACCAAGCGGCGAAATCAGCGAAATTAAATCGCCAGCGAAAATTAGTTGATTTTAATACAGGAATCGGATTTTCTGGCCTTTTTGTAGTGATACATGTACTCTGACCTGTTGAGCCAATGACGACGCCGAGTGCATGGTTGCCTGTGGAGCACATTACATAACTTTACAGTCTCCTAAAATACGTATCCTGTCCGACGGCAAAAGAGGCTGCAGATTTAGTTTTTCTGCGCGTCGACGGGATGTCTGCGATGCGAAAGTTCAGCTCGCGTTATTTGGCTCGCACGTCGAAAAATCAACGCGAGTGACCTGCTGCTCACGTCGAAATTTGGACATTACATAACTTTACAGTCTCCTAAAATACGTATGCTGTCCGACGGCAAAATAGGCTGCAGATTTAGTTTTTCTGCGTGTCGACGGGATGTCTGTCCTGACGTTTCCTGGGACCGGCTTAGACTCTGCCGATCACGGGCGTTCTGGACTCAACGGGATGTCTGTCCTGACGTTGCCTGGAACCGGTGGACTCTGCCGATCACGGGCGTTCTGGAGTCGACGGGATCTCTCTTCCGACGTTTCCTGTGACCGGCGCTGAATCGCTCGTTCACGCTTATTTTGGAGACGACGGGATCTCTCTTCCAAAGTATGTTTATGCTGACGCATCCTATCACCTATTCGGCGTCTATTCTAATTTAATTTCCTCCTCGTCTCCCTTTTTCTTTCCAAATTTCCCTCTACATCAGGGAGTCGTATACATAATACGACGAATATTGTAACTGTACGGGACAGATACAGGGGCCCGCAAAGATTGTGGACAGCTGTTATGTACAATCCTGTAGAGCCTTTGTAGTCACAGATACGGGACAGATACGGGACAGATACGGGATAGCTCCAGCCGTGACACAAACAAACAAACAAACAAACACCAAATTAAAGCTGTGTGGACCCTGGCTAGCGCCAGACGTTACTGAAGTAACGTCTTCTGCATAGCTACGGGAATTAAATGTAGGACTAATGTCGATTTGCCCAGCTTTTCTATACACTCTTATGATCCATGGGCGAAATTTTCAACCGGACGAACTCCTTTTCTTTGGAGTTGGACGAAATTATTCACCGACGAAATTTTCTGCCTCTACAGTACCTACCATATGGCTGATTGGTTTGCAGGCCTGCCTGCGAATCATGAGGTCCCGAGTTCAAGACCCGCGCTGGTAGCAGGGAGCGTGTAAAAAGACTTTTTACGCGTGTTGAACTGCGCCGACACCCACGGTCAACTGGGTACTCACAGCTCGGAATGAGAATAACAAGGATGCAGTTTACAGGGTTATGGGCCGTTACACGCCCGATTGGTTGAGAGACTAACCTCCTCTCCCCTGACTCACTTGTGAGGTCTGCATTCGCCACTAAGGTTAACAGGCATAGTGGTGGCCTGCGGATGCGAAGGCTAGTTTGTGTGTTTCTGAACATTCAAGCGATGCCGACGCGGATCCCGCGAATATTATTATTTGTACTTTTAAATCGTACTTCTTGTTTTGGCATTGTGCATCCTTATTTGGGGCAGTACAATTTCGGAACTACTACAGTACTTACTAATCAAACAGCCCGGACTCGTGTAAACGAATCCAATCTACGAAATCTTCATGAGACTCCAACCCAGACCTGACCCATTGCCTCATTTCATATCAAACAGATGAGTAACTGAACCTCTCTAATAACAATTAATAAAATAGATAAAGTGATGAGCTGAGCTGTAGCGATTTCGTCGGAGGCAGCTCCCAGTCCCAGTGTCTGAGCTGGCCCTTTGTGCTATCACGTAAAGTACTCTCTAGCCACACAATGTTTCAGACTACTGCGAATCCCGTCAAACCGTGAATGGCGATAAACCGTGAAGGACATTCGCACTACCGGTAAACTAACGTTACCGTTACGTAAGTTTTGCAGCTCTCACCGCGGCACTGAGAAGGGATTTTCCCTTTTTCCCAGCCTGAGCACTTTTTTACTGCCGGAATGCACTTACCGCCGCAGCAGCCGCGGCAGTAAAACATTTCCGCCGGCAACGTGCCATTAACGTCACGTGATCAAATCACCTTAGAAACTTTCCCAATCGGTCACTTTTTAACGGTAGTCTGAACGCGCCCTAGTGGTGCACAATTCAAGCTACAGTCAACTTCGCTTATAACGACACTGGGCGGGGCATCAAAAAAGTGTCCTTATTCGCGAAGTGTCGTTATACCCGAAGTCGCATTATATGTATTACAGTGGGATGGGACTTTGCTCTGGGCATGGAAATTCTGTCGTTATTCGCGAATTGTCGTTATATCCGATGTCGTTATTAGCGAAGTTGACTGTATATCTGCCGAAGATACTTCTTGTTTGAATACAATGCGTTCAGAATTGGGTTTGTTACCTGGCTCTACTATTTTAAATACAGAGTACATTATGCAGTGATGCATGGACTATTCTTACTGGTACTGTTGTTTGAAGGGCAGCCACCAGAGGTTTTTGTAATTTGTGTTGCTGTTTTGTCACTTGTGGTACACTTTCTTTTCATTCTCTGCTGCATCTGTATTGTGATTTGCAGCGGCCGAGGCTGCAGTCTTACAATACAGGGCTGGGTTGAGAATATGCCCCAAATCAGAGGGTGAACTTCGTGCGGCTCTGTACGGAAATATGGCTGCCGCCTACGTGAAGCAGGTAAGAAACTCATGTTATCTGCTGTCTGATGAGTGTTTTTTTATGCACGAATCTCTGAGTAACGGCAGAAAAGGACTTGGTTGTGTCATTGCTGTGTGCGTATTTGAAGCAGGTAGGACTGTAGACTTTGCTATGGTCACGTCTCATTTGATATGAAGCCATACTAGTATGCGTGCAGTTGCCTGGTGGTGTTTGTATGCATTAGCAAATCCCACACTTGTCTAACTTACTTGTCTCTCTTCCTGTCGGTCCTCCAGGATGACCATGAAAGAGCAGTTGAATGCTGTGATAAAGGTAGGTCTTATGAACGTGTGAACTGAGAGTACACAATGTCTCATAACGACTTGTATGAAGCTTCTTCTATTCTATTCGTTGTGTTCGAAACTTGACTATGATAAGTTAACCAACAATGAAGAATCAGGAGTGGATTTTCTTTCTCACATGAAAAACAAACAAGACGCATAGAAATGGCTTCAGCGGGGAAATTGAAAAGCTAGCAGCAGAGAAACGCAAACTGCGTCTCGACATTACGGTGTGCAGAGATGGAACGAAGGTAAAAGAAATGAAGACGCGACGCAACAGGCTGGCACACCAAATTCGCCGGGAATGCCTCAAGTTAGCATCGACTCGACTGGACGAACGTGTAGCTGAAATAGACCAAATGAAAGACGACGCGAAAATGTTCAAAGCAACACGACTACTGCGCCGACAGCAGCAGTCACCAGTTGTGGTTGAAGACTCTGATGGCAAACTCATTGCACAACCTAGTGAATCAGTCGAAGCATTAAGGCAACACTTCCGTGCTATATTCTGTGATCCTGCTCTGGAGTCATCTAGGCTCTTACGGACAGAGGAAGACCTTAAAAACCCTATAAAGCAGCCAGAGGTACATGCCGCAGCTAAGCGCTTGAATAATGGCCGAGCTTCGGGACCAGATGGGATACCTGCTGAACTTATCAAATATGGAACACCAGCACTGTTCTCGAACATTGCCACTACATTCAACAATTATGCCAAAGACAAATCACTCAAGCTAGGCGATGGGCTACTGATCCCGATACCAAAGCCGGGAAAGAAAAGAGGTCCTCCTGGAAATGTAAGGCCAGTTACCCTGTTGAACACCCTACGTAAACTTCTTTCATTGGTCATCCTGACGCGGATCAAGCCAGCTATCAACGGGTACTTGTCACTGAACCAGAGCGGGTTCCGGTCAGGGAGAAGTACTGGAGACGTGGTATATAGCTATCGGTGGTTATCAGCAAGATGCCAGCGTGTTGCGTCGGAGATCTCAATCTTAGGCATTGATATGTCAAAGGCATTTGACACTATATCAAGGGTCAGGCTGATCGATATACTGTCAACAGTCATTGATCATGATGAGCTGCACATCATCCAGTGCCTTCTGACAGACACCACAATAAAAGTAAAGCTGAATAACATTCTCAGCCAACCATTAGTCACACACAATGGAACCCCACAAGGTGATTCTCTATCGCCAGTCCTGTTTACTGTCTACCTCGAGGCTGCATTGAGGTTGATTCGAGAGCGACTCTCACCGCGACCAGCATTGGATATTCAGCTTCAATTGCCCAATGAAACAGCGTATGCGGATGACGTAGACTTCATCAGCACCAGCCTACAATATTTGCATGACAATCAACCCATACTATCATCCTCGTTAGCGGAATACAATCTAAAAATGAATGAAGCCAAAACCGAATATACTACAATTAAAAGAGAAAAGGACAGAGTAGACGAGCGATGGCGGAACACGGTCAAACTAGGATCGATGCTTGGAGTGGAGGAAGATATCAGTCGGAGAAAACGTCTAGCAACATGCGCCTTACATCAGCTGTGGGTGATATGGCTAAGAGGTAACCATGCCCGTGAACCCCTTCGGATTAGGTTATACGGCAGCTTTATTCTCCCAATACTTCTTTATAACTGCGGCACATGGAGCCTGACAGAGACTCAAGAAAAGAAACTTGACTCGTTCCACCGCCAGCAGTTACGGGCAGTCATAGGGGTCAAATATCCCCGTATAATACGCAATGAAGCACTGTACAAGCGCACTGGCTCCAAGCCACTCAGCAGAATCATCCAGTCTGCTAGGTGGAGAATGTTTGGCCACATGCTTCGACTAGACACCTCATCCCCGGTCCAGCAGGCTATGTCGGCATACTTTCAGCCAGGAAGCTCAGGGTTCCGAGGCCGCCCGAGAACAACACTCCCGCGATCCATCAACAACGACCTGAAAAATTCCAGATCCACAAACTCCCTCACATCACACGAGGATCTAGTTGCACTGAGGCAGCTCGCCCAGGATCGTCGAAAGTGGAAGGATCTAATGTGTGCTGTGTGTAATGGCTGAAGTTATACAATTACACTAGATACCCTTAACAATAATAACGGATACAATTACACTAGATACCCTTAACAATAATAACGGATACAATTACACTAGATACTCTAGATACTAGAGACTCGGTACTCTAGATACTAGATACTCTAACAATTTTATCAAACATTATGATAATTACCACATCAAATGCTGCGGAGACCTATCCAGAATCGGCAATATGCTGGCCCTGGCCTGGAGATCTGCAACTATAATCAGCTTCTACTTTGCAACACTAACGGATTAGTCCCCTTTGTCGATTGATGGATCAATCGGTAGATTCGGCTCTGTTTTTCTTCCCTTTCTTTCTTGTTTTGAATTGTACGTTGAACTCATTGGATTTCTTTGTATTCTGTATCTCGTTATCGTTATATTTCCCTCTAGCCCTCTCGCTTAGGATGAGCTTTCTTTTTTATGGCAGCTTAAGCGAAGGCTATATACCTGCTTTATGCAGGTTGATGCCAACGCGAACAAGCAAAATAATAATAATAATAATAATAATAATAATAATAACATGAACTTCCATCTTCCACTGTCTTCATACATTCAGATTCTTATGGCAAGCGGAGTTGCTCTCCCAAAGTACTGTAAGGTCATGTGTGCAGCAGCCTTGAACCTCTTGGTCATCTAGGTATTTGTACATGTATGTGGGAAGAAAGCTCATGTCAGCTGAGCAATGCAATGTGTGGCGTTGTGTGCTGCAGACGCACGCAGGGAACACGATAACGGTCGGACATCGGACATTTTCTGACCATTTTCGATTCGAATCCGGCGCTTTTTTTCTTCAACTGACAATCTGTCCGATCGAAATTCACAAAATAGCGTCGCTGGGAAAGAGAACGGCTGAAGACAATGGCGCTCTGCCTGGGAAGAAGTCTCACGAAGTCGGAGCAGCAACCTGTGACAAGAGGGTTTTACAGCATGACAGGGAGCTGTCCACTTCAGTGTAGCTCCAGTTTGAGCGTAGCAAACGACCAAGAAGGAGTTTTGAAATGAAATTTTTTTCTTCGCTTTCTCGCTACAATAGGAACTATTCCGCGAGGCGCTTGTACAATCCGAAATATTGAAAACGTCCATGTTCCAGGGAAACAAGGCGTCAGAAATGTGCCAGCTTGCCGTATGCCTCTATCGAAAGGAGCAGTATTCTGCAAATCCAGTCAATTACGCTCTTGTTGCACAGGCACTGTGCAAGATCGACGGAGCAGCTGCAGCGAAAGTTAGTCAGAAATTCAACGTCGCGTAGAAACTACGTGCTGTTCAAAGAGCACATCGTGTTTGCAAAGATGGGAGCCTTCAGCCAACTCGAGTAGGGACATGTTGTCGATCTTGGAGCTGGCAACAAGAAATTAGAATGGGCAAGCAGGTGCCAACTTTGTCTTTTGTCGACTGCGTAAAAATAAATGTCTTTGATCTGCCGCTGAAAAACCAGCTCAAATCCGAAATGTGCAGAAACACTGCACGCTCCTATCACAGTTACTATGCTTAGGGGTTGTCGCAAAAGTTTTTTGTCGTCCCTGAAACGAACATGATTCATTTGGGGGGGGGGGGGGAGGGGGTGCGAGCCAAAATCGCAAGTCGACCGACACTGTACATATGACATGTACATGCATGCGATTTTCGTCGTCCAGCAGAGCAAGCTGTGTTCGTTTCAGAGGGAGGGGAGGGGGTCCGAGTACGAAATGAACGATGTTCGTTTCAGGGACGACAGAAAACTTTTGCGACGACCCCTTACTGCAAAACGCACAGCGATTGGTGTTACAATACTTGAGATCTGTGTGATGATCATACTTGATGTGACCAGCAATACCGCAGTGTGATGTAGCATGTACATGTATGTGTGCATTATGCAGTGGTGTCGTGTGTGAAATTGGTGAAGACAATAATTATGAGTACCAGACTTGTAAAAAAATCACAGTGTCTGGCCATGTCCGACCGGTTCCAGAAGCGGTAGGACATTGTGTCAGAGCAATTTCGAAATCTTATCGTGTTCCCTGCGCACGGCCGACCTATGTTTGTGCTTGTTATGTGTTCACACCTGTAGCCGTCAAGTACAAAGAGCATTATGTCAAAGTCTACATGAGGCGAGCAGCATCTCATGAAAAGCTTGACAATCTGGAGAAAGCTCTGGCTGGTAAGTGGATTCGCATGAAAGTGCAGTAAATGTGAAATACAGATGATCGCCATCCATGATTGTGGATAGGCAAGATCTGCATTCTATGCAGCACGTCTGGAGTCCTGGGAAATGTTTCCTTCATACAGTTGAACATCGATTATCCGCACATCGACTATCTGACCATTCGATTATCCGTAACAGTTTTTTTGGGCGCACGTGCCGTAGAGTACGCACTGTGCATGTAGTGAGCCATTCAAAAAATACGAAAATTTTGAAAAGTAAAAAGTAAAAAGGTCGTGCGGCTAGTAATAACCACTGAAAGTGTGTGAGTGACAGTTTTTTCTTATCCGGAACATTTGCCTTATCTGAACACCGCCTGACAGTTGTCTGCCCAGAGGTGGTCGGATAATCGATGTTCAACTGTAGTACGATAAAGTACCGCCGGAGCGCCCCACCATCTCGTCCTTTCGTGGTCGTATTGTGGAGGTGGTCTGCTCACTCTGCTGTCTGTAGGTCATACGACACGAACCTTGTACGCATATTCCACATTTTGCAGTCAATCCGTACCTTCGAGCGGACACAAGCTCCACACAAAAACCTGCCAAGTGTGACCTTAGTACACTAAGGTTCTCACATCGTACAAACTTCGTTGCATTCTGCCATACGATTTTCCTTTCCCTGGCTGTAAAATGAAGGTGGGCCGCTCTTGCGAGACGGGGCGCTCTGGCGGTACTTTACGGTACATGTAGTTCAAGTGCTTGTGAGGTAACAGCTAGTATTTTGTTTAACCTATTGTAGCATTGCAGTAAGTGTGACTCCTTGTGCGAGATTTTCTGAACGTTGTAACTGAGATTGTGCTTGGGTAGAAATGCCCAATGTCACCAGGGACTGTAGGCCAGTCTCCTTTACCCGAAATGGCCGGCTGAAAGTGACGATAGCTGAGTCCATGTGCTAAATCACCAGAATTGCAGCCGCAGCTAATGCTGCATACTGGCGTAGAACAGTCCTTAACACCGGTGTAATATTTCTGTGCTCAAAATCTGGATGCATGCGATTCTCTGACATAGTCACGCATGTTCCGATTCTTTGTGCTCTCCAGCACTAATATTAGAGGGGGATGGTTTTGTTCTTTGCGTTCTCACTCCAATGCTTTTGTGCAGATTACAAAACAGTTCTGGAGTTGGACCCTCGCAATGGTGTTGCCATTGACGGAGTGCAGGTATGCTGTTCTGCTTTCTATTTGGGTACATGGCATGTACTGTACAATCATCATTTAGTTTTTAACATCACATTACTTCGTCTCACATGCCATGATCATCACGGTATGCAGCATAGCAGAAACGTACACAGTGTGTTTATTTTAATTCGCGATTCAAACGGGCAAGCATGCCCAATAACAGGAATACGAATAACTGAGACAGGCGAGGAAGAATATTATTAGAAGCTTCTCCGCGTTGGCATCACTGCAATGTAGATACAGTCGTCCCTCTCTAATCCGGCACCTTTTGCTACGGCGTTTTCTGCTGGATTAACGAGGGTGCTGGATTAAGAAATCCTGCCCTCTGACCCGGCCCTACCCAATTGCATGCATGTATTATATGTACGTCAAAACGCAGGGTTTTTCCTTTCCGTGTCGACCCAAGTATTTAGTGCACGGCTTTATATTCTCAATTGTTCTCCGGGAATATACACAGTGATAAAGTGATAAAGTAAAACAGAGAACATGTTCACATGTACTCTTGCACACCTTGACCTTGACCTTGATCTTGCCCATTGCGTACGCGCAATGATAGCGAATGTCGGAAAGTTCAAGTGAGAACACGAGCGCAGAACTTGGCATGTCGTTTCAGGTCTCCTGGTCGACGAAATGGGCGTCCACAGACACATAGAAGAGGATCAGGAGCGGGCCGTGGCGGTGGGGTGCTACTCGCAACTCGTCTCCAGCCGGGACAATCTTGGCAACTCTCAAGCCAGGTGGTCACGCCGAGGTCCGCCAGGTCAGTCGACACCACATCTCGCCACCTCTTCTTCGGGCCGTGACGAGGACGGGGGGCAGGCAGCTCGCCGAACAGCAATTGCACACACACGCACACACACACCTGAAAATTGGCAGGACACTACCCCTTGCTAAAATAAGAAAGTATGGTTGACTGCCGTTGTCTCCTGGACAACATTGACCAGACTGGGCTAGCCTGGCCTGGCAAGGAGTGCACCTGTACGGTACGCGATTTACGACTACCGGATTATGAAATCAAACTACGTGCAGTTTGAGCGATTCGTTTCAAAAAGTCACTGCCGGAGGCGGAATTCAAGTGCCGGATTAAGATGTAGGAATTGAACGAAAAAAATCGGTTTCGTCAGAAAGTGCGCCGGTTGGCAAGGGTTCCGGATAAACAAGTGCCGGATTAGAGAGGGACGACTGTATACACAGCATGTATAGCTTCTTTCGCATAAGCCGAAGCGACAACAGCCAGACAGGATATCGATGGCGATATAAAACATATGCAATATAAAACGCGTGACGAAAATAGAATACAATTAAAACAAGCAAACGAGCAGCTCAACCGAGTTGAATTTGAATTTGCTGATCATTACCAGGGTTCATCTGTGAGCAGCAACATATCTCTCCAGGATACGGCCGCTGAGGTAGCTCCACGCCCCGCGATTCTGGGCGATGCTCCTCACCTCCTCAAGATCTGCCGAGGTCTTGTGGGTCCTCCCAACCAGCTCGAGATCGTGTCTGAGCACGACCGGCAGAGTTGTGCGCGGCCTGCCCCTCCAGGTTGGCTCAGTGGATGGCTTGAAGTAGGAGCACATTGACAGGTTCGCCGATGCACTCTGGTCCAGCCGCAGACGCCAGCGGGCTCCCAGGATCGAGATACCAAGTTGTGTTGAGTTTGTCCTCTTGTACAGGGTGTTATTCTTGATCTTAGCTGGGTACCGTATGCGATAGGGGTGAAACGAGTATCTATTTTGACCAATCGATCACTCGTTCATAATATTCGATCGAGTATCCGATTATTTCGAGTATTTTATCAAAATTCAAAAGCACTAGATTTCCGAATTCTCGGCCAATTCGGAAGAAATTATCTGTGAACATAGAACAAAATTCGCCAACGTCTTGTACAGAGTGTAAAGTAACGATTTTCATCAGTACTTTCATATCTCAGAACGTTACTTGCCGTGGTGATCGCATCGTCCAAGTCTTAAAATACTGACTTAAAGCCATGCATAACGCATGCATACCAGTGGACCAGCGGTACAACAAAAGTTTTTGAAGATACAATGCCAATACTAAAAAAAAAAAAAAAAAAAAAAAAAAAAAAAAAAAAAAACGATCGAGTGCAAAATTTCGAATACTCGCTCGTTTGAAATTTTCGAACGAATACTCGAATATTCGAACTAATCGTTTCACCCCTAGCCAATAACTTTCCGCAGTTGTTGTCTGTGGAACGCATCAACTCTATGCATAGCGTTGCCAGTGAGGCCCCAAGTCCCGTTGTTGTAGCACAGGACCGGTAAGACGAATGCCTTGTATAGCCGTACTCTCAGCGATTCGTTTACAATGGAACCACGTATCCATAATGCCCAGAGCCGGTGCAGGGCAGCCGTGGCGAGTTGCATTCTCCACGCAGCATCCTCGTGGTCACCAATGAGGGAGCCCAGCTTCCTAGTGAGGTGCCATTCCTCGCACACTCTGTCGTTTAGCCGCGTGATGTTTGTGAGTTCTGTTTTAGATTTATTGATGTTGAGGTCCCAGGCTTTGAGGCACTTTGCAATATCGGGCAGGAGCTCTTGAGGAAGAATAGAAGACGAGTAATACGACTACAGCGGCGAGAGCGGCGAGAGCGCATGTTTCGAGGAAATCAGTGGCAAAGTGAATATTAACACCTGCAGCGAGCCATTTGCTCTCGTGAGCATTTGTGGACAGGAATGGAAAAGTTGGTAACGGGAAAAGATATGTTGCACGACATATATGTACGGGAGGTATCTGAATTGCAAGAGCTGCGAAGGCCCTTGGCCTACTACATGTGTTGGTTTCAACTTTCCAAGCCATGGAGATGTACATTGTACTATTCTGACCACTGTTCATTTCATTCATGCAAATCCTTTATTGTGTGGCTTTCTCTTTTGGTTTGTGTGCAACGCAGCGGTTACCACCTCTGATTCATGAGCAGCAGGAGAAAATGAAGGCTGAAATGATGTGTAAGATGATAGTGGGTGTATATTTGCTCAATGCACTCTCCGTATAAAACAAAGAATTTAAAACTCCATACCGTAAAAGCCCCTGTATACGCCCACCCTCCGTGTACACGCCCAGTCAGGGGAAGTCAACACTTTTGTTTCAAAATAACGCCCATGCCCATGTATACGCCCAGCCATGCCAGCAATACCAGCCTCGATTTCCTGGGCATATACAAGGGCACTGGCGTTATTTTGGAACCGGGCGTATACTTGGAATAGGGATAGCAGTAAGTATTGGGTATCAGTACCTGTACATGTACTGGTGGTGCCGGCTTACCTGGGCGTATACATGGGCATGGGTGCTATTTTGAAACAAAAGTGTTGACTTCGCCTGACTGGGCGTGTACACGGAGGGTGGGCGTAATTTCGAGTGGGCGTATACAGGGTTTTTTACGGTATAGTTAGTTCAGTGGGATCAAAATCAAAACTATTTCCCCCAGTTAAATGTGAGAGCTCTCCTTGCCATTCGCGATTTCCATGTCATGACACCAACACCGAAAGCATGCCGCGTGATTCTTCCTCTTTATTCAATTTGGTCTACAAGCCGCGGGACACAGGGATTTCTTTCTGTTGTTATCTTGAACACAACCTTGATCGTGACACCAATGCGTCTCTGGCTTTGTTTGAATATCTTTGTGTTTTCAGCCAAACTCAAAGACCTCGGGAATGCAGTGCTCAAGCCGTTCGGCCTCTCTACAACCAACTTCCAATTCAACCAAGATCCAAAGACAGGCGGCTATAGTGTAAACTTTCAAAGATAGCACCGTGGAAACATCAAAGTCCGCAAGCGTCCTCTAGCAAGAAATGGAGAAAGACACAGACGCACACGTGTGCATGCGCACAGACAAGCGGAAATAGAGGTCATGGCCTTTCTTCAGGATTTCATGCTGATGGAGATGGTGAATTGTGTAAAGAAATGTAACCTACTACTTGTACAATAGCCAGCAGAAGCCCAGTGTGGCGGCAGCAAGATACTAGTATAGTGTCAATCCTGGCAAACACGTTGTCCTCATGATTTCGTACTACAAACTACCTATTCTGTTTATATCTACTTTTACTCGGGCCAACATAGCAAACACAACTAAGTTTGTTTTTATATTCCTTTCCAAAATACATGTGCCATGATTTTAATTCGTTTCCATGAAACTTCTAACATATGATGGCATGCAAACTTCACCCACATGAAAAATACTTTTTTAAAGCTTAAAAAGTGCAAATGACAGTACTTTCTCCATCAAAAGCATACTAGGTCACCATTTTATACTCAATCCTGAAAGGTTCTTTTCAATGATGTGAAATTGTGTGTGAAGTGTACGCTTTGCTTTCTCACTCGCCTCGCCCTGGAGCCAGCCAGAATAGAGCGAGCGGAGAAGGGGGCTGCTGTGCGGACTCCGCGAGTCGGCAGAGCTGTACAGCTGTGTGACACGTGCTAATAGTTCCTTGTCCCCTTGCTGCTCCGCTTTGATCTGCCCTGCTCCGTTGAGACACGCAGAGGGGCATGCCATCACCTCCACAAAGTCATACACACACTTGCGCCGTTTCATCTTCTGTACCAGATTCTGAATGTTGCGGAAGCCATAAACAGCAGCGAAGTGAATTGCTCGTTCCGAATCAGAGCCATCAGCAACTGGGCCACGTAGAGTGAACTCTTGCATGTCTACATTCCGACGTGTTGTCAACTCAATCTTCTCTACAGTCGTGTTGAACATCTTCTGTGCCGTCTCTCGAATAGCGAACTCTAGGTAGCCACCAGCTCCACTACCAGAGTGCCCATGAACATTAGTGCCATCATCTGTCAAAGAGAATAGCTCCGGATCTAAATCAGTTCCTTCGAGATCCGTCAAACCTGCTATCACGCTGTGTTCATCCAGTAACAACTGCACTTCGCTCGTCGTAAGCACACAGTCAACTTCATTCGTCTTCAACACATCGTCATAGAAGTCTTCCCGCGACGCCTCTAGTTTCTTGTCATAACAGGGCATAACAGTGACATGGTAAACACGCTGACTGGCCACACCGTACCTGCTAGCTAAGTGATCCTTGACATACGCACCGGCTAACTGCTGTGGAGACTTGGTGGTACTGAGATGAGGTACGATCAACTCTCCATGAGTCTTCTCTGCATAGCAAATCCACCCGGGGCATGCAGAAGTCATGAACGGCATGCGCGACTTATCTGTTGCTGAGAAGACGGACAAGAATTCGCGACTCGTTTCTAGCAGAGCTAAGTCCCGCATAGCAGTGACGTCCAGCAGAGATCTAAATCCCAGCTTCAGAAAGAATGTATTCAGACGTCTGCTTACCTCCAGCAGGGATAAATCATGCTTGGCTGCCAGAGAAGCACGGGACTGGGGCGACAACGACACGACTGCACAATCATAGTCACTGCTGCTCTGCCCAAGTGTGGAGAGAGTTTTTAAAACTTCATGATGGCTTTGCTGGTTGATGAGCACAGTCTCTGCTGATGTCACACACCCACTACAAGCCAGACAGTCGGCCAAAGTGATCTGGGCTTTGGCAAGTTCCTGCTCTCCTCCATCCTGAGCTTTTGCTAAATATTTCCCATCGTCAGAAACACGTATGCTGTGTAGTACAACTCCAGGCTGCCTCTCAACCTTGGCAGGTTTGATGCATTCTTGAGAAGGCCCGATAAAATCATCCAGGTCGGTCAGTTGCAGAGCTCCAGAGAACTTCGCCATCGAACCATTCGCTGGAAATATACTTGCATTGGCGGTGGCAAACACATTGAACACATTGCGAAAAAGGATTACAATTTTGAATTTACATCAAGACAAGATCAGTCCATAAACACGTGCACTCATGTTTACGTAATAAATTACATGTCTACATTTTTTTTTTTTTTTTACCTAGATTTTTTTTTTTTTTTTTTTTTTTTTCACGGAATCATAGCAAACAAAACAAAATCATCGGATAATAAAAGTGTGGCTAGACACGGCTACTCCATGTCTACATTTTGAATAAAAATCCTGCATGACCGCTCGACCGTACCGTAGTAAAATGTTGCAGATTTTCGGTCATAAAAAATGAAACGTCACTATGACCTCACGGTCACGATCACAGGCGCTACAAAAATTTTAAATACGGCGCGGCAAACATAGTACAATGTACTACACTGTAGCGAAGGACTTCTGCGATGGCCCTGCTGCGGCAGTTGCGTGGGGTCCGCGATGGTTGCGATTTGGGGATTTCCCGGTTTCGCGGCTGTCGCATCGCAAAAAAGCTTCTGTGAATCCCGAAGGCCGATTCACAATACAACTTTCTGCGACGCGACATGCGACTTGCGACACATGCGACGAGCTGCGACAGCGACGCACGGTTCACAATATTCTTCATGTTTGCATTTGCGACATGCTCATGCACAAGTAGTACTATTATATGCCCGTGCACTGCACGTGCACCCAGGGTCGAAACTGCACTCCATTTGTGTATGTCGCGTGTCGCATGTCGCAAAAGTTGAACTTTCTTCAACTTCTGCGACAGGTGCATTGCGACAGCTTGCGACAGGTTGCGACAGCTCGCGACAGGCAGTTTCTTGTCACAACTGTCGCAAATCGCGTGTCGCGTCGCAGAAAGTTGTATTGTGAATCGGGCTTAAAAAGCGGGATTCACAGAAGCTTTTTTGCGATGCGACACGCGATGCGACAGACGCGAAACTGGGAAAACCCCAAATCGCAGCCATGTCGCACCCCACCCAACTGCCGCAACTGGGCCATCGCAGAAGTTGAGCTTGGCTCAACTTTTGCGACGCGATGCGATGCGACAAGCGATTTGGCGTACGATTTTGACCTTTTCTACAGCAAAGTTGTACAAAGGTTCAAGAGTTGCCTATAAATTTGTACAAGTTGTATCAAACCGCGCGAATATCATGGTGACGTAGCCAAATCAGCAAGATGATGTCGCATCACTGACTCCTTCTGTGAATGGTATTTCGCGAGTTCGCATCGCACGCGTCCGTCGCAGATCGCGTCGCATCGCGTGTCGCATCGCAAAACAGCTTCTGTGAATCCCGCTTAAGGCCGATTCACAATACAACTTTCTGCGACGCGACATGCGACTTGCGACACATGCGACGAGCTGCGACAGCGACACACGGTTCACAATATTCTTCATGTTTGCGACATCCTCATGCACAAGAAGTACTATGCACGTGCACTGCACGTACACTGCACGTGCACCCAGGGTCGAAACTGTACTCCATTTGTGTATGTCGCGTGTCGCATGTCGCAAAAGTTGAACTTTCTTCAACTTCTGCGACAGGTGCATTGCGACAGGTTGCGACAGCTCGCGACAGGCAGTTTCTTGTCACAACTGTCGCAAATCGCGTGTCGCGTCGCAGAAAGTTGTATTGTGAATCGGGCTTTAAGGGGTCGTCCATAAATATCGAACTTTTTTCACAAAACGAAAATTTCGTTATGGGGTGGGAGGGGGTTGACCAATTTCGTTTCAGAAAACATTGATTCATGTACATGGCCATATACGGCTGTTGTATATGCAGGTATGTCGACATTTTTTACGTTCTGAGGGGGAGGGAGGGAGGGGTTGAGTCTAAACTAAAATAATTCGTTTGGTGAAAAAAGTTCGATATTTACGGACGGCCCCTAAAGGGACCCTCACTTAATTTCAAGAGTATAACCCCCCGGGGTTATATAATATACTCTTGGGGGTTATTATACTCTTGCTATTATGTTTGCCGCGCCTATAATATTAGTAGTCGATGCGCCAGATCATCATGTCAGCAGATCAGATGCAGAGCTCGAAAAAAGCCCTTTTTTATTATCCCGCGCGCGCGCGCGGGGATTATTTTGTACAGAGGTGAAGATGACGATTCCGTGAAGAATGTTTCAGTTCGTGAGCAAATTAAAAAATCATAAAGTATCTCGTGACATCCCGACACTCACCATTAGCTCTACGCAGCAGGCTACTACCTCTTCAGCTAAAGCCATTGCATTGGACTCTCAGTTCGCCTCAGTGGCCGTGCCTGATGACCCTTCTCTACCCATTCCTCCAATTGCCGAGGAGTCGGGTGAGGCTGACCGCCTCACATCTGTCTTTACTACGACTGCTGCCATCCGACGTTACATTCGAAATTTGGTGGATCTTTAATTAAGATATCATGATATCTTAATTACCAGACCGGACAAAGGACGCGCAACGGTCATAATGAGCCGAACAGAGTACATATCAAAAATGGCGGTAATCCTGAACGATGACTCCAAGTTCGTGAAACTCGGACCAGTTTCCACTCATGATAATACAACAAAAGTAGAGAAACGCCTGATAACATACCTAAAGAAATTGAAATCTGAGAAAGAAATTTCGGTCTCAGAGTTCATGAGAATCAAGCCAATAGGCTCCGCCCGCCCGCGACTCTATGGCCTGCCAAAGATCCATAAGCCGAATTGTCCAATACGCCCAATATTATCAATGGTAGCATCCCCACAGTACACAGTATCGAAGTGGCTTTGTTTGATGCTTGGAGCTGTGCAAGATTATTACTGTAAGAACATTGTCAAGGATAGCTTCCAGTTTGTAGACCTCATTCGGACTCGCCAGATTCCCGCTACAGCGCACATGTGCTCATTTGATGTGGTCAGTTTGTTCACGAATGTACCGTTGGAACAGACCATAGATATTTGTGCGGATGTTCTCTATCACAATAACTCTGTTGACACGCCATGGCTGCCTGAATCCTCCTTCCGTACACTGATGTCTCTTGTTACTACAGGCGTTGAGTTTTCATTTGATAACGTGATGTATAGGCAGGTGGATGGGGTAGCCATGAGATCACCATTAAATCATTGTCTAAGTCTCTCTTCATGTTCCGAACTGCTATTCTATGGAACTGTTTACCCCCCAGTCTAACATCGGAAGCCTCGCTCTCTAAGTTCAAAGCTGCCCTCAGGAAATTTACAGCTGACTATGCTTATGCAATCAACGGAATTCCGCCACCTTGCAGTTGATTTTCCCCATTTCTCTCCTCATCAATCCCTACTTCTCTTTGTACATACATCTACATCTACTGTTCTTTCAATCAAATGAACCCCTCGATAGGCACATTGCCTTTGGGTCATTTCATAATAATAATAATAATAAATTAGGTCCAGTGTTGGCAAATATATTTGTTGGCTACTGCGAATCTCTTGTGGACCAGTCACTGTGGCCGGAGTTTTACGTTCGTTTTGTCGACGACTCGTTCACATATTTTGATTCAGTACAACAGTGTGACGCCTTCTTGGACCGATTGAATAACTTACATCCCTCTCTGAAATTCACGGTTGAGCATGAACAGAACAACACCTTGTCCTTTCTAGATTTGCGTGTGGAGAAGTCAAACGATGAAATTGTAAAGTCAATATACAGGAAACCAACATTTACCGGACAATATATCGTGTTTGACTCGTATTGTTCGTACCTGTATAAGGTCAACCTGGTGAAGAATCTGGTGGATAGAGCGCGGCGAATCTGTTCCCCCTCTCGACTCAAGGATGAGCTAGGTTTTCTGAAATCTGTGTTTCTCAAAAATGGTTACCCGGAGGAACTGCTAAACAAGCTACTAAAATCAGCATCAAAACCAAAGGTCGTCATCATAGGTCCAAGTCGTTGCCCAGTCTACCTTTCCTTACCTTGGAAAGGAGAGGCATCACAGACATTGTGCCGCACAATCAAAACGCTAGTTACACAAACATTCTTTGCGGCGCACTTCATCCCTGTGTTCACTACGATACGTGCGTTCACGGTGAGGAAGGATGTCCTACCATCCCACCTATTGAGCCACTTGGTCTACCAATTTGAGTGCCGGAATTGTGATAGCCGGTACGTTGGTAGGACCCTTCAACACCTGAGCGCACGTATCAAGCAGCATGTACCACTTCACATGCTGCCGGACGCAGCAAAAGCGAAGCGCCCGAAGCGGGGAAGACCACGCAAGAACCCGCTCCCTCTACCACCGACACAACCAGAGCAAGTCGAACACACGGTGCAGAGGAAGAGTGGTGGATCACTAAGCCAACCGAATGTGCCTTCTCCACCGTTGCCCTTGCCGCCACCGGAGCCACCACCAGTGCCGTTGGTGGCTGGGGTTGGGGAGGAGTCGGCAACAACGACAGTACCGCCAATCACAGAAATTGATCCCATTTCTTTGACACAGTATCCGGCTGTGCGGACACCGCAGCACCCTCCGGCGCTTGATCCGTGGGTCCAAAGACCACGGAGGTCGACCGCCAATAATTATTATTCAACCGAAATAATTATATGCTAGGAATGGCCAAGGCCCACGCGGAGCATCGAAGGGGACCGGAAGCCGGGGGCAAAACGGAACACAATCTCGGGACGTAGATGAGGTAAGGACAGTGGCACGGGACAGACGTAGGAAGGAGAACATGGATGGTATCAGACGACTGACTGGTGGTGAATATGAGTTGGGTGATGATGCGGCGGATGACGAGGATACAGATGACGACGAGGCGGATGACGGCGAGGATACAGATGACGACGAGGCGGGTGATGACGAGGCGGCGGATGACGACGAGGCGGATGACGATGAGACGGCTGGTGGTGATGGTGATAAAACGGACGAGGAGGAGTCAGGTGGCAGGGAAGGTGATGGAGCTGATGAGGGTGAAATTCGTAAGAAGTCAGCTGTGTACTTGCATTTGTTATCTCGTCCCGATTGTTTGAGTGTTTATGATGATTCCCACTTCTCTGTACTGTGTCGTGCTCGTTATGTCCAGCAGTTGAAGGTCCTTGAAGCTGTTTGTATTCGTACGCAT